TGGGTTACGCTCCCCCTAAGCGGGCCCTCCGCATCCTGTCTCTGTCTTATCTCAAATACAAAATGCCAATGGTATGAATGTATCTATATATAACTTGGAAATGACGTACAATCAAATAAACCCGTAACCCACTCACTTGGTCAGGCTTCAGAATCGTCCAGTGGGCAGTGCACTCTACACTCCAAGTTCCCTTTTTTTCAAATTTACCGCATATTTGATATTTTACCCATTGAGTGTTGATTAGTCACAATGAAACATTGTGACAGAAGTTGAGGTTACTAGTGTATTAAATAATCTAGGTCCTATTTAGGATTATATCTGAAAAATCCAAATCTGGCCAACGCCCACCCTAAACCTAAACCTGTTCTAATCCACCTGAAATGACTAACGAATGGAAGACTTTGACTACCCAGCCATGCAATAGTCTCATTCCGTGCCTTATGGCAACTTGATGATTCTATTGCGCTCATCTTCTGGCACCACCCAGGGGAGACTTGGTCCTGTACCCAATGCTTAACTTATCTCCATTCCACTCAACTACTCGCAATTTCGTGTGATATAGTGGGCGGAATATTATTATATGAGACAATTCAATGCAGACGTCTTTCCAAATTTGGCAGATCGACAGGTAATCGGTGAGTTAGCACGATAGTTGCTATTCAACAACTCGACAACGTCCCATCGTCAACGCCTGCTATGAGAATTTCCCATAGCAGACGCCAACGAAATGACGTCATCGAGCTATCGATCAACTACCCTGGTTATCGCCTGGTACCTTATAGCACGATGCTAGGAGGCGAACCGGAAAAATCGATGAGCTACCTCCCCCTCTTCGATCTCTATACAGGCCTTAAGGAACAAAACTACAATTTTTACGACATTCTGAGAACCACTATATCGTTTTGCTATGAATGGCTGTATATATTATATACAGCCATTCATAGGAAAACGATATAGTGGTTCTCAGAAAGTTGTTAAAATGTGTAGTTTTGTTCCTTATCGCAAAATAAGGATCCATTTCCATGTTAGGGTGCTCCAAAAAATCGTTTTTTTTTTAATTCATAACCTTGAACCACTTTTCCCAGTGATTTCAAAGATCAAAATATCAAATGAAAGGTAATTACAAATAGAATTTAAAAATATAATGATATAAAAAAAATTGGATTTGTATTGAGAAAAATAGTATTTTTTAGTTTTCATGGTTTATATACAGAGGGCGCAATATGTTTTTTTTTATCATTTCCTGGAAAAATTAGGCTTTTTTACACAAAATATATAAAAATCAGCGATGTGTTTGTGTTTTTTGAGTTATGTTTTTTTAAGGTAAATTTTTTTTGGGTTTTCGCTCAACACTCCTATGCGACTAGACTACCATGCACTCAATTAATTTAAAGCGACTGTAACATGGTCACATTATCTATACTTATTTATTTCTTTTTTTTCTTTTTTGAGTTATATTTTTTTTAAGTTATCAAGTTTGGGTTAATTACCTTTCATTTGATATGTTTATCTTTGAAAACGGCTTAGTGGTTCAAAAGTTATGAATTTTTGAAAAATGTCATGTTTCAGAACAAATATGAATTATTGCCCATGACAAACAACTCAAGTAACCAAAAAGCCCGCTAATTCACCTTTAGGCAATGCGGCTAACATAACGCTTTGCATGCCTTTTGTTAGTCGTGTATCAGCCTTGGTTACATGGGACTTATACAATGTTTCATGCAAATCGGAGTACCGTTCCGATTCAAATTTCGGACACTTTCATTTTTAATTAAATATTACATCCAGTTAGAAACATTCTATTCTAGTTGAAACAAACTATTCTAGTTGAAATTCTATTACTACACTATGTTTGTTTTGATTCGCTATGAAAGTTTGACAGATAACATCAGGGGTGTGTGGATTCATGCAGAACATGCAGGGGTGAGTGAAATAGCTTAGGACTGCTTGGGACCGTTGTTCTGGTACTGAGTGAGCCAAAAATAATAATGATTTTCTTCGGGACCCAGTGGTTTTACCAAGGGGTAAGTTACTCAGCACATTGTGACGAAATTATATTCTACACAGCTTGGGTACATCCATCGGCACATTTTCGGCATACCTTCGACACAATCTCGTAGGCATTAGATTGTTGTTAATAAAATGGGAGCACTGCTAAACAACTGTCATTCAAGTTGTTCAGAGTATTTCGTGCTGTTTGACTGTATGTTCAGGAACATCTTCTGATTGAATATATCAGAGGAACTCAGACCAGCAGATCTCTTATAGATCTAAATACGAAATGTAGGTTCTAGAGTGGGCTCAATAAAAAGAGGCAGTTAATCAGACCTCAAAAGTACCGTTAACTCTAACTAAACAAACTAAAGAAGTTTATTCATCACCCACTATAGTCGGTCTCCAACAATGCTCCCCACCGGTTCCAACTCTTTCCGGCCGAAAGGCTAGGTTTCTCTGCCTTTGAGGGCATTATAAAACACTTAAACACAGGACTTTTATTACCCTATGGATCACAAATCACTGAAATTTCGCACACCCGCCACTTCCCGCGTCATCCTCAATCCGATTTATTTATCGTTGCGATTTCAAACCAAAACATTCAAGGTGTGAGAAATACCGGGTTGCCGGGATGGGTATTTTTACTAACAATCGCAGCTTGCTCTATGACCGGCACAATCGGCATACTTGCGGCACACTGACAAAAAAGATAACCCAAGATTGGTGTGCAGAGTGACCTACCCCTACTGTGTTACCTGACTTATAACGAATATACGTTGTATACGAGTAAATACCCCGAATACAACGTATGACTCGTCTAATTTTGCATAGCATTTGCAATGTAAAATTAGACGAACTATACGTTGTATTCGGGGTACTCGTATACAACGTATATTCGTTACAAGTCAGGTAACACAGTGGTGTTTTGTGTTCATAAAATAATAAAAGTCCTGTGTTTTAGGGTTTAATAATGTTCTCAAAGGCAAACCAGAAGCCTAGCCTTTCGTGATGTGAAAAGCAACGGTCTATGAGCGGCCGCTAGGAGTTGGAACCGGTGCAGAACATTGTTGGAGACTGACTATAGAGTATGATGAATATGACTAGTTCTTAAGTTTGATTTGTGTGAGTTGCAGCATTATTTGAACTAAGGGTGCTAATGGGGTCTGATTAACTGCCTCTTTCTATTGAGCCCACTCTAGAGCCACCATTTCGTATTTAGATCGAGGGGGGACAAAACTCCCAGATTTATTCATGTTTTTGAAAAAATCATCTTTATTTTTCTGAACCGATCCATATCTGAATAAATCCACTTTATCAGATATAATCTCCAAAATTTAAAAAAAAAATCGTTTTTTATCGATCACATCCCTATAATATCGGGTCACGTCCCTAACTATCTCAAATTACGGTATTTGAGCACGCCGCGATCCAATGCGATGTAAATATTGTGATTTTGTCGTCTCTTCCGTTCTCCCACTGTTTGAATGGTTGATGGAGAAACATTCACATTGCCTCCCCTGTTTACATCACATTAGTGGTCGTATGGGGGAAGAAACCAAAGCTGTAGCTCTTTACTCCTGTGGTAAAATCCATAAGCAAACGAAGCAAATGGCAGACTGTGCGTGAAACATGGCGACCATCGTACTATCATTTCACTCCACTGAAAATTCCCATAAGCAACTGTCAATATTTGCTAGAAGAGACGATTTCTCGACGGTGCCGTGATGGCCAATAGAGAGGAAGTTAACAGTTAACGAATCGAAGAAATCCACAAAAATCGAATTTATTAAGCTAATTTTATTGAAATCCGTTAATTTAATGTAGAATGGATTACTTTCGTCCCCCTCGATTTAGATCTATAAGTGAACCGAGAAGTGAACTGCTGTTTTGAGTTCCTCTGGTATATTCCATTAGAGGATGTACCTAAATATACAGTCAAACAGCACGTAATGTTGTGAACAACTTCAATGACAGTTGTCCAGCAGTGCTCTCATTTTATTTACCACAATCCAATACCTACGAGATTGTGCCCAAGCTGTGCCGAATCTAATTTCGGAACAATGTGCTGAGTGACTTACCCCTTGGAACCGGCATAAAATCCCAGTAGGGACGGAATAAAGCCAAAGAACAAGAAAAATGCTACCTTGGACATTTTTCTTTCATTTGTCGATAATTACATTAGTTTACAGTATATTTGAATTTTGTACGCTGATGGTCATGTAAAATCGTGCGTTGAATCCAAAAATGTAGTCTAAAAAAATCGTAGTAGGATTGAAATATAGCTAAAAAATCAAATTTCACTTTAAAAAAGGTGTTTACAAATATCTCCGGCGCTAATGGAGTTATATTATTAGTTTTAACGCCAAATTAAAGATGATAAAATTTGTTTTAGATTGTTTAAACCCAGTGAGATTATTGGTACAACAACTACAAACATTTTCAATTTTTCTTAGAAAAATGCAAATAATAAAAAAAAAAAAAAAAACAAACTACTGAGATTTTTTGACTACATTTTTGTTCAAGTTCATTTTTTTACTTTTTTTAAACTAGTGTTATTGTATAATGTTATAACTGTTGATAATAGTACGTTCAGACTACAGAGTTATAACATGTTATAGCGCTATATTGATGGTGGTTTCTGTGTTGTAATTATTTGACAACCGTTATAACATGTTATAACTCTCCAGTCTGTACAGCGTTTAAGTGATTAATTGAGTACGGATAGAGACAAACCAGTTTTGTGTGAATTCAATTTATATTGCCCTAGGGAAAATACATAAATTACGTAGCATTTGAGGGGGAGCGGTTCCAGCAGTTGTGACCGTCCATGTATAAGGTATGACAAAATACTAAAATCTAAAATTAGTCAAAAAAATGCTACATCATTTATGGATGGTCCCTTATGTCTCACTAAACCTAGAAAATATCATGTCTGTACAACTTCACTCAAAAAGCACATATCTTATAAAATAACCATTGCCGTAACAACTCATTGGTCGACAGATCTAACATGTAGATCCATCCAACAGAGAGATTTGATGTAACGTTCCACATCCGGCTTTCTCTTCCATATAACCAGGAAAATCGGATTCCAAAATCAAAAATCGATTGATTTCGTGATCCGGGAACACATCTGTGGCATACAGACCTTCGCTACTCTTGAACACTAACTTGAAGTTGGACTTCTTAAGGGACTGTCTTGTGTCCCAGTAGTGCACGTTGCTGTCACCTTCCTCGCGGAAGAATACACCCGTTGCACCATCCCCTCCAATGTAGATGTAAGAGCCTGGTTTTTCTCCAATGTCTGAAACCAGAAAGACGCTACAAATTTATGAAACGCTAACATATCTCACCGTTTTACCTTCAATGTTTCCACCACGACCACCCCGTAGATGATCGGTACGGATGGCGAACAATCGTCGACCTCCTAGATAGGTGAAGTACAGCTTTGTTCCAGTCTTGTGATATGACAGAAATATGTACAAAACATCTCGGAATCGACAACCATGATGGACGGCCTTCGGCAGCACCACACGATAGCCACAACCTCCGGAAGCATCGTAGACTATGATGGCATTGTTTCCAGCATCGCTCACGTACACGAAGCACTGACCATCCTTCGTGCATTCAACCTGCATGTACTGCAGTCGTGACTTTTCCGTCACGTATCTACTGAGATTGATCGTTTTCATCTTTTTACCCAATTTGGCATCATACACTACAATCTTGGCATGACATCGTTGGATTGGGCTTCTCAGCGCTTGAAGTATACCATTATCCAAACACCATACGTAATTTCCCGTTGCAACGATATCAATGACCGATTGAAGGGAATTGCAGTTATTTTCCTCCTGCTCAGTCCAACAGGGGAAAGGCTCAAACTTGACGTCACATCCCTTCTTAGTAGCATAAATCTGACCTAATGTTATCGGAATGCTGTTCCTATATCGTGGCATCGCACATAAGGTCTTATCACAACTTCGAACACAAGCCATTGCAATAATGTCCCTCGGAGTGTACTTGTCGGCAGCCTTAACCAACCGCTTGGTTGTTGGACAAGGCCATTCTATACGGCCTCCCTCCCAGGTGTAGATTGCATTAGAATTGTTGGAAAAAGCAGTAACGCTGTTCGCCGTTAGCGTTATTGCAGCCAACAGCCAAAGGATGTCACCGCGCATCTGTAGGCTGAATTGAGTTTAACGAATCAACTAAATAAAACTAATCACAATCTGTGCATACCTCTGCACTCGGTCCTCATCCAACTGCAACGTAACAATTCTTAGATTAAAACTGTATGGCAACGTCTTCAATCTGCTGCTTTTATAACCTGTTTTGAGTGCACCAGCAAAGTTCACCATACCGCTAGCCAAATGAAGGTGTTTGGTCTTTGGAACATCTATCAATGCCAAAACATTGCTAAATTGAAAACAACAGAATTGAAGGTATCTTAAATTTTCTGTCTACAGCGAAGGAAAAGTTTTGCAACACGTCGCACCGGAACACGTCATCTCCAGTTTACCGGAACACGTGCCAATGCAATGTTGTCAAAATATGTGTAGAATGCTTTGTAAAATTATTGCGTAAAGCGTGGACTCGAATAAGTCCTAGGTGTTTCTACGTAACTTAATTGCAAAGTACATACCTAGGGACGTGATGAAAAAGATAATCTTTACAGAAGTTGTTACGTGCAACAACCAACTTGGTGTTCCTATGCAGGGACGAACAGTCCATAATGCACCGGTGGGGTCAAATGGCCCATGCCGCTTTTCGCTGCTTTCCCATTTTCTGGAATGCTAGTTTAAGTTGTTAAGTACTGAACTAGCAATGCTGATCGCTAAATTCACGAATTGACTATGCAATGAAAAACCACTCGGTGCCATTTTACCCCAGGGGTGCGCTTTGGCCTGTCCTACACTACAGTTAGTTTTGCTGACAATATTTTCTATGGTTGTGTTACGATATAACTCAGAGTATTAACAAACGAATTCGTAATGGGAGCAGTTCCACGCCAAATGACGAATCGATCAGACTGGACCGTCTTCGATTTGCATAATTGTTTGTTATAGGCAATCATTAACATTTCCGCTAAAATTCGGCCATTTTGGATCTGGTCAATTTATTCAAAATGCCTTTTTTTGTTTTTCATTGATATGTTTTCCGTCGATCTTATTTTCCGTGCCGAGCACCAATGCTACCGACGCCAGGGAGGCAGCTCCCACACCTGGCCCTACCTATCGACCCATCAACTCATGAACCGAGGACCAACGGCTTTACTTCCCTTCGTGATCAGAGATGTTATGCCTCAGAACATCCCGGCGGCGCCAACAGGGATTGAACCCAGTTCGAAAAAAATCGAAAAAAAAAGATTTTTGGACCACCCTAACATGTAAATTTGTTCCTTAAGGCCTGTACAGATCGCTCTCCCGAAACGTCAACTTTTCGCTTAGCTGCTGCTCTTTTCGCGAGTGCTGCATGCGCGAAAAAAAATAAACGTAAGCGAAAAAGATGCGATCCACAACATTAGATTTCGCTGGATCGTATCTGTTTACAGTTCAAAGCGAAGTAAAAAAATTGCCAATTGCGTTTTTCACGCTGGTGAAAAATTTAGTGCCGGCGCCGGTGGTGTAGTGGTAAGCGTGACTGCTTTCTCACCCCAATGCGTCTGGGTTCAATCCCAGCCGAGGTCGGTGGGATTTTTCTGAGGCATAAAAATCTCTGGTCACGTCTTCCTTCGGAAGGGAAGTAAAGCCGTTGGTCCCGGCCCATATGTGTGTTTGAATGGGTGCGATATCCTACGCAGGTGTGGAAGCTGCCTTCCTGCACATTCGATTGCCGTCAATGGATGGCAATCGATGTCCGTCGGTGATTGGCACTAGATTGCGGAACAGAGACCGACGTTAAATAAAGGAAAGAAGAAGAAGAAGAAGAAGAAGAAAAATTTAGTATTTTGTATGAGATTTTCGCTTCGCTTCGATCTCTATACAGGCCTTAAGCTTGAGCTTGAGCTTGAGCTTGATTGACCGCCCACGGTTGCTACTCTGTTATTGCCAGATCAGCTGTAATTACACAGAGAACCAATAGACGATGCTTGGGACTAGCAATCATCCTCAATGTGTAAAAACTGGTGATCTTGAATTAGGCAATACCAGCGCCGGCCGCGCCCGAACACAGGTCAAGAAAGGAATGGGAAGGATTGTGTTGACATGACACTCGCTTTGATGGAAGCCGAGAACACCTCTGCACTTCCACGAGGAATCACTGGGATGTTGGATAAGAGGGTTGGGTTTGCAGCAGGGTTCGTTTTGGTAAACGATAAGCTGAATTAATGTCCTAACGATCATATAACGCGAAGGAGCTTGGGACTAAACCCACGGTCTTCTGCTCAGTAAGCAAAAACGTTTGCCACTAGGCAGACGAGCACCTTTTTAATCACCGAGTTGCTGTTATTACCATGTAGTCATATTAACAAATAAAACGATTGACGAATCTTGATTGTGGATGGGCCTGAGATTAGACTCATGATGTTCTGCTCAGTAAGCAAAAACGGTTGCTCTAAGGCCACCGAGCCCCTCATATCACATAATACCGTTGCTCAAATTTTTGTATACATTCAAACCCGGAACCAACGACAACAACGAGTTTCGCAAAATACACGATACACAAGCGATTTTACTATAAATCTCTTTGATATGTAAGGACCTGGGACCGCGTTTTTCTGCTCAGTAAGCAGGCTACTGTAACCGACGATCTTTCAAATCCGAAAACTAAAAACTACGAAAAAGTACTTAGGCCTTCATTAAGTTCCACATTCACGCGACGTACAATGTTTCAATTTGCTCTTTACGTATTGTTCAGGCTAGGCCCTTTTCAAAATTTACGCGAGAAATACGCACAATCGTCACCTACCTCGCAAAACTGGTTCCAAACGACAACAAAGGCATAAGCAACGATGGATTGTTGAACTTTGCTGGCTCCGCCCAAGCAACATTTTTTGTTTTATTGAAGTTCTATAGCAGTTGATACAACCAAATTATAAAACCTTCACTGACGACCACATTGCTTTAACAACCTCCTGAGAACCGCTATACAGCCATGTCATAGCCAATTGGCCCAGTTTTAATGCATTCATTATAACTTGATATGCGAACTACCTTAGGAGCAAAGGTTTTATGTTAGTTTTATCACACTCTACACGTGGTTGTCAAAAATGCAAACATAAAACCTCCTCCAGGTCAGAAAGTTTTAACAACCTTTTGATGACTACCATTAAACTATATTACAACCGCATAAATCGCTCCTGAAGAAGTTGATAAAACATGATACGCAAAACATTTTGACAACCTTGAAGGTTTTAAGTTGGGGTTTTTGGATGATAGTTAATATTGAGATATATTTTATTGTGGTTTTATTCTTTCGATGTTTGATGTGGAATCATGATCCTTGTCAGTTGGTAATGATACCTGATATTATTGTATATTGAAAATAAAACGACTTTATTACAATTTTAAACCAATCTGTGTATGCTTCACAGCATGCCGTGCAATATTTGTGGTGATTATTATACCAAATAGGAGCATAAATTCAGTGCGCCATATGAATACTAAAAAATAGGGATATTTTTAATTTGTCTGCATTTGCACCATGCAATAAAGAGTCATTAAAAGATTATCTATTTAGTACAAAACTGTTACTACTGTTGAGCAATAACCAGTCATTTATTATTTAATTATACATAGATGTGTGAAAGTGTTTTATCGCCTATCAGTTAAAGCGTAATTATTCATACTGTGTTAAATTTGTTCATACGGCGACATTTTTTTCGTTATAACTTGTTACTCCTTAAAAATACCTCAATATAACATATTCTCCTAGATTGGAATTCTATAGCATAACATAAACCTAATGGTTGTATCTTAGCATTTCGTAGTCCAAATTGAGAGCGTTAAGTTATATCTAAGCTCTATAATAGCTTGCTGGTTTTATTCGGTACAGCGAATCAAAACAAAACAAAAACCATGGCAACCTGTCAAAAAGTCAACATTCCAAGCGATCCTCCTATTTTCTCTTGTAATCAAGATGTAAGAAATGCTTATTGGATCTTTTAAAAACTTTTACAATACAAGGTGTGAAGCCGTGATGCAAATACTGACCATCTCCAACCGGATTTAGTGAAACTGTCTGCGTTGTTTTAAGAAGGGTTCGTGGATCTGTCGGAAGTGTATCGGAAAGCCGCTTATTTAATAGCTCATTCACCACACTGTGCCTTATGTTTAATGAGGGAGCCCATAACTGTAGATACTCCTGGAGTTTCATAATGGCGATTTTTTCATTTTCATCGTGTTTAAAAACACTGAAGGGGTTTTCATTTCATGTATCTCAATAGATTTGTTTTTTTTTATATTGGTAACAATTTTCAGAGTATTTTTTTTTTATTGTTGTAGTATATTTCTTATCTGTAAATCTTAGGCCTCTGATAAAGATGATGGTTGTAATGAGGTTTTGATGAAGGTCTAACACTGCTTCAAGTTTTATATCGGTCATAAAAAGTATGCCATAAAACATAATTGTATGTTTTGTTTTGGTTTTATTCTGCAGTTATAAGCAGTGATATAGAGCCACCTTACAGCTACCATTAAAACTATGAAGTCTGAGTTTTAATTTAGTAGTCATAAAACAGTTTTATATTCGACTTGACGGCCTGATTTTATGACAAGCACACAAAACCGTAATACAACCACAGGCTGCAAGGGATGCTATGATAAAACAATGATAAAATAAGAATAAATCTTCCAAGCATTTAGATTGTTACTTGGGCGGTGGTGTAGTGCACAGCAAAAAAATGTAATATCGATCAACGTAATTCAAGCTGATGTATGGAATAATGATGTAGGGTAGATGTACCAGTTATGGCTGTACGCTCCTATCATGATGTGCTCCAATTATGGCATATAGGATTTCCATAGGCCATGATTGGAACACACCACAACAGGAACGCACAGCCATAACTGGTACATCTACCCTAATTGTAATTTTGTAATTTATCCGCACACACCCTGGTCGACCACTGTAAACCAATCTGCCGTTCAGCGTTTTCGGTTTTTGTTTCTGGATCTTTAGTTGCCTCTGTGATATACTTACTTGCGGCATACTATTTTGGGAGTGTATATGAGCGTGTACC